GACCCAGGTGAGGGGCCAAGAGCTGGGGGGGGGGTCCCCTGTCTGGTGGTGCCTTCCCAGAATGCACAGGGTGGTCTGGAGGTCCCTGTCCCACACTGGCACAGCCTGGCCAGACTGGGGAGCTGTTGGGAGCCCAGGCCAGTGACCGCTCAGCACCCATTCCCCTTGCCTAAGCCCCCAGCTGCCACACACTCTGAGGGTACGTCTACACTAGCCCCCTACTTCGATCTAGAGAGGCTAATGAGGGTGACCAAAATTGCAAATAAAGCGCGGAATTTAAATATGCCGCGCTTCATTAGCATGTTCCCAGCCGGTCGCCATTTTAGAAATTGACTAGCCCGAAGTAACTGCCCGCGTCTACACATGGCAGTGAAACGGGGTTCCCAATTAAAGCCCTAAATCCAATTAGCTGGTAAACCTCATTCCAGGCAGTTACTTCGGGCTAGTCGATTTCTAAAATGGCGACCGGCCGGGAATATGCAAATCAAGCGCGGGATATTTAAATCCCACGCTTCATTTGCAATTTCGGTCGCCCTCATTAGCCTCCCTAGATCGAAGTCGGGGGCTAGTGTAGACGTGCCCTGCGTGTGACTCATTCTTAGCTGGCAAGGAGGGCAGCTGATGGAGAATCTAGCTGGGCACTGGGACATTGCATCATCTCCTTCTTGCCTCAGGTTACTACGGAGACAGTTGTGCCCATGTGTGCACCCTCAACCCCTGTGAGCACCAGGCCACGTGCACTCGCAAGCCCAGCGCCCTACATGGCTACACCTGCGAATGTCCTTCCAGCTACTTTGGTCCCTACTGTGAAAACAAGTGAGAGACTGGGGTGTATGTCTACAGGACAGGTGTACACAGCACCAGTGTGCACACACAGTGTATGTGGGGGAGGCTCTCTGTAGGACAGGTGTATGCTGCATGTGCACAGTACCAGTGTATGCACACAGTGTACATGTGTGTGTCTGCAGGACAGGTGTACTTTGTGTGTGCGCAGTACCAGTGTGTGTACACGGTGTACAAGGAGGCTGTCTACAGGACAGGTGTACTTTGGGTGTGCACAGTACCTGTGTACGCACATGGTCTACATGGGGAGGTGTCTGCAGGGCAAGTGCATGCAGGAAGCATGTGCTTGTGCAGTATGTGTATATGCACAGTGAAGGCATAGGCACAGTGCAGGTATATGCTTTGTGGATATGCTGTGCAGCTGTATGCAGTGTGTGTGTGTGAATGAGAGAGAGAGCACCATGCAGGTGTGCTCTGTGTGTGTGCATGTGCACACGTGCACACTCCGTGCAGGTATATTCAGTGACTATGTATGTGTACACCGCACAGCTTAATAGTAGATTTAGGAGGCATGTGTGCATGTATAGTGCCGGTGCAGTGTCACGGCTCAGGCTGTGCCCACTTTTGGCCCATGTGGTGCCTGGACAGTACTCCCACTCCAGTGCGGTAGCCCCTTCTCGGGGAGCCCACTCCAGTATAGCAACCAGGCATTTTCTCTACGGCCGTGTAGTGCTGCTCCCGGGCCAGCAGCTTCTTGCTCAAGTACACAAGGGAGGCAGCTTGCATCAGCCCTCTGCCCAGCACATCTGAGATGTCGGCAAACACCAGGAAAGCTTTGCTTCCAGTCCGGGTTGACCAGCACCGGGCCTTGGATGAGGGCCTCTTTCAGTGTGCAGAGAGCCCTCTGGCACTGCTCGGGCCAGACCACCTCGTTGGGCTTGCCCTTCCTACACAGCTCTGTCAGGGGGGCGGCTGGGGCTCAAACTTCCCTTGGTACCTGGCCATCCCAACGAAAGCCTGGACCTGCTTTTTAGTGTGGCTCCAGCTTCAGCCGGCCACTCCCCACCTTGTGGCCCAGATCCGACACTTCCTTCACCTCCCGGCTTTTACGGTCAGTCTGGCGACGGCTCATACTCTCTTCACCTGGAACACGTGGTTCTCCCAGGTCTGGCTAAAGACACAGGTATCGTCAGTATAAGCCACAGTAAAGTTCTCCAGCCCCCTCAGTAACTTATCCACCAGGTGCTGAATGTGGCAGGGGCCCCCGTAAGGCCAGAAGGCAGGACCAGGAACTCAAAGAGCTGATTGGGGTGGTGAAGGCCAACTTCACCCTGGCCTCCGGGTGCAAGGGCACCAGCCAGTGAGTCCCCGTTGGTGAGATCCATCGCAGTGAGGAATTGGGCCCCCCAACTTGTCTAGGATCTCATCAGTCCTGGGCAGAGGTAGGCATCGGGCATGGTGATGGCATTGCGTTTCCAATAGTCTACACAGAACCAGATTGTCCTGTTGTTCTTGAGAGCCAGCACCACTGGGGAAGCCCAAGGGGCTGGAGGAAGCTGAATCACCCTTAGAGCCAGCATGTCCCCAGCCTCCCTTTCCAGGTCCTGGGCTGATTTCCCAGAGCCCCTGAATGGGGTGCCCCGGATGGAAGGGTGGGCTCCCATCTCCACCCATTGCACAGCCAGGTTAGTGAGCCCAGGCTGGAGGAGAACAGCTGCTGGTTGGAATGCAGCACCTCCCTGGTCTCTGCCTGCTGGGCTGTGCTTAGCTCCTCAGAGAGGGAAATTGACACCAGTGAGCTGCCAGCCTCAGCCTCTGGGAGGAGACCCAGCAGGGGACCCAGCTGTCCACATGCGGCCAGCACCAGCTTCTCCTTGTCCTGGTACGGCTTCAGCATGCTGACTTGGTACGCCTGCAGGGACCGTTCCACTGCCTAGCTCACCTCATTTACTTGGCTGATGACTTTAAAGGGGCCGTCCCAGGCTGCCTGCTGCTTGTTCGTCCCCACAGGGATGAGGGGCCCAGAACTGGATGCTGTACTCCAGATGTGGCCTCCCCAGTGCTGAATAAAGGGGAATAATCACTTCTCTGGATCTGCTGGCAATGCTCCTCCTAACGCACCTAATATTCCACTTGCCTTCTGGGCTACAAGGACTCACTGTTGACTCATCTCCAGCTCCTCATCCGCTGTAACCCCCAGGTCCTTTTCTGCAGAACTGCTACTTAGCCAGTTGGTCCCCAGCCTGTAATCTGATGAGGTTCAACAAGGACAAGTGCAGGACTCTGCACTTGTCCTTGTTGAACCTCATCAGATTTCTTTTGGCCCAGTCCTCTAATCTGTCTAAGTCACTCTGGACCCTGTCCCTGCCCTCCAGCGTATCTACCTCTCCCCCCAGCTTAGTGTCATCTGCAAACTTGCTGAGGTGCAATCCATCCCCTCATGCAGGTCATTAATAAAGATATTGAACTAAACTGGTCCTAGATCCGATCCTTGGGGCCGACCAGCAACCTGACGTCGAGCCGTTGATCACTACCATCAGCTGCTCCTTAGTGACCCTCCCCACCTCAGCCCTCTCTCCCTACACAGACATGCCAGGAGCTGGGCACAGGCCATTTTGCCGCTGGTTCCTTCAGTACCCTCGTTTATCGCTGGCAGCCACTCACTGCAAAGCGCCTGTGCCACAGGCAACAGTCTACAGCAGTGTTTCTCCACCAGCGGTACAAGTACCCTTAGGGGTACTCGAGAAGTCTGGGGAGTATGTCAACACAACTGAAATTGGGAGAAAATGGAATTTTTGGTGTAAGTTTTACAGCGTTTTATTATTTTTGTACTTTTTACACCCAAAAATGTCGTCGCCCGCCCAGCTACGATTAAATTGTTTCCACAAATGTGTTGCAACGGTAGAAAAAAAATGTGTGTGTCTGAAAACTGTAGGTACTGGGGGTAATTTATAAAAAAAGGTTGAGAAACACTGGTCTACAAGGTGAACCCCCAACCGTCCTCTGATACCACGTTGTCACGGCTCACAGGTCGTGCCCACCCTCGGGCCGTCCGTCCGGGGCAGGACCCCCTCCAGTGCGGCTGCCCCTCCCCTGTCCATTGTCTTCTGTCCAGGTAACCAGAGTTGCCTGGCCCCTCTCTTCTCTGCCTGTCCTCTCTCCAGCCCATTGTCTTCCCTCTGGCCAGAACCGGTTGTGTCCTCTGCGCTGTGTCTTCTGGTCACCAGTCGCTGGGGCTCCAATTCTGGGCTGTTCTCTGCAACAGCAAACTCCCTCTCCCCTTGCCACGTTAAACCATTAACATCCAGGGACACCGAGTGCCCCCTCTGCATGCAAGCCCCCTTTCAACCGCCCAAAACGTCCCACTTCCTCTCGTGCACACAGTTCATGTGAGTGTGCATTCTCAGTTTGCTCACCATGCAGGTATATGCAGTCAGTGTGAGTGTGTATGTGTGGTGCAGGTGTAAACGGCAGGTGTGCATAGTGAGTGTGCAGTGTGTGCATGCCACGCAGTGCAGCGACACAGTGACTTGTGTGTTCATGTGCACCACGAGTGTGTGTGTGCAGTGCAGGTGTCCATGCAGGGGCAGGGAGTGTGTGTCAGGAACATTGCAGGTGCTGTGCACACGCAGTGTGTGTGCAGTGCAGGTGTCCGTGCAGTGCAGGGGCAGGGAGCGTGTCAGGAACATTGCAGGTGCTGTGCACACGCAGTGTGTGTGCAGTGCAGGTGTCCGTGCAGTGCAGGGGCAGGGAGCGTGTCAGGAACATTGCAGGTGCTGTGCACACGCAGTGTGTGTGCAGTGCAGGTGTCCGTGCAGTGCAGGGGCAGGGAGTGTGTCAGGAACATTGCAGGTGCTGTGCACACGCAGTGTGCGTGCCGGAGAGTGAGTGTTCGGGGAGGTGCAGAGCATGTGGGTGAGTGCTGGGTGCCGCCAAGGGAGCAGTGCAGTGCCACCGTGTAATGAAGCAGGGGACTGCTCTTCACAGGATTGACCAGCCGTGCCCACGGGGATGGTGGGGGCATCCCATGTGTGGCCCCTGTAACTGTGATGTTGGCAAAGGCTTCGACCCTGACTGCAACAAAACCAGTGGGGAGTGCCGCTGCAGGGTGAGTGGGGAGATACCACTGCAGGGGCATGGGGGGTGCCCAGCCAAACTGCGGAGGGACTCGGGGTGCCTGGGCCAGCTGGGGAGAGATTCCTCTACAGAGGGTCAGGGGGTGCCCAGACTAGCTGGGGGGATACCACTGCTGGTGGATGGGGGGTGCCCAGCCAGTGGGGGGAGACAGTTGTTGGAGGGTGCCAGTGACCCAGGGCTCAGCTCCCTCTGCTCCTCCAGTCAGCCCCCCTAGCGTGGCTCTGGGCCCTATCTTCCTACCCCATGCTGGGTCCCCAGTAGGGCTGCAGCAGGGGCCATAGCGAGGGCCCTGCCTGTGAGCGGGTTCTGCTCGAGCCCAGCTGCACTGGGGGCCAGTGGTTCCCCCAGGCAGTTTAGGGGCAGGTGCACTGTGGGATTTTTTTGCCTTCTGCAGACTCAAGTGGGTGGGTAGGCCTGGGCTGCTCGGCTCTGGTGGTACATGCCCCACGGAATAGCTGAGGAGCTGGCAGTGGGACAAGGCTGGTGTGGTGGGCCATGCATGAGCAGAGTTTGGCTGGTCTCAGCAAGTCACTGACTGGGCCTGCCAAGAGCCTCAGCCTTCACTCCCCTCACACAAGGGTCAGCAGAGGGATCTGGCCTTGCTGTGGCCCATGGGCTGCCAGCTGCCCCCTGGGGCTAATATCCTGTGTTCTGCCCCCAAGGAGAACCACTACTGCCCGCTGGCCAGCGACTCCTGCCTGCTATGTGACTGCTACCCCACGGGCTCCCTGGCACGGCTCTGCGACCCCGAGACAGGGCAGTGCCAGTGTAAGCCAGGGGTCATCGGGCGGCGCTGCGACCGCTGTGATAACCCCTTCGCTGAGGTCACCGCCAATGGCTGCGAAGGTCAGTCCAGCCCATGGCCTCGGGTGATGTCCTGCCCTCATCCCTTGTTACCCCTGGCTCCTGCTGCCTGCCTACCCCAGGGGGCACTATGCCCAGGAGGTGATCGCAACACCTCAACTAGGGCTGTCCTGCAAACACGTGCCCCCCGCCAGGGCTCCCCTCAGTACGCTTCTGTCTGGGGCTGCCCCAGCGCTAAGCTCTCTTTGCCTCTTTGCTGTGCAGTGAATTACGACAGCTGCCCCCGTGCCATCGAAGCCGACATCTGGTGGCCCCGCACCCGCTTTGGGCTGCCCGCCGCGTCGCCCTGCCCCCGAGGATCCTTTGGTAACTATGTGCCGCTGCAGGGGTGGTGCTCGGCCTGCCCCCTGGCAGGCCCTCGTGCCACTGTTGCCAGGGGCCAGGCATGGGGGGCTAGGCGGGGGTGCCTGCAGTGACCGTGCTCTCTGCCCGCAGGCACTGCAGTGCGGCACTGTGACGAGCACAAGGGCTGGCTGGCTCCCAACCTCTTCAACTGCACCTCGCTGCCCTTTGCCCAGCTCCGGAGCCTGGTAAGTGGCATCCGCCCAGCGCCCACCAAGGGTGTTAACTATCGTGTCATTGACTAATCAAATAGTCGTTTCATTTTTTGCATCGACTATTCGATTAGTCGATAGGGCAGCTCTGCATGGAGCAGCTGACCCTGGGCTCCATGAGGCGCTGCCTCTTTGAAGCACCATCTCTTTGTCTGATAGCGGCAGCAAGGTGGGAGAGCGACTAGTCCATTAGCCTGTTGACTATCCGATAAACATTTGCTTATCGGATAGTCGACTAGTCTTCACATCCCTAGTGCCCACAGAGCTGGGGAGCCAGACCCAACCCGGCCAGCACCCTGCGGGGGCACCCACCATCCTGGCCAGGGCTCTGGGGGCCCCCAGCATTCACTGCTTTGCCTGGAGAGGAGAGGAGATGTTACCCACACAGATGTCTCTCTCCCTTCCACACTGCAGGGACACACACCTTTACCCACTTCCTAGGGCTCAGGGTGTAACTTCCTGCGGGTTGGCAGGATCGGTAGCCACTGAAAGAGCCTCACACAGTAATGTCCTTATCCTCTTTTAATTGACAATTCTCAAACAAGCAGAACACACACACTAAGAACACAGTGTCATGCTCACCAGTCCGGGTGCAGGCCGACTTCCCCTGTTGGCCAGGCAGTATCAGTCTCTCTGGTCTTAGGCTGTGTCTCGGAGGCGAGTTCTTCTTTCCAGGTCTTCCCCTGGAGAACCTGGTCCTCTTCCAGCCTTTTCTTCCTTCTGATCTTCTCCTTCTCGGACCCCAGTTTATATAATGAAACCTGAGTCTTGCTTAGCTAGACCCTCACCAATTAGTTTAGTATAATTTTACTCACCAATCGTAACAAAATGACCTAACCAATCAGACCCCACCACCTTCATTGATCTACACCCAGCAAAATGAATGATACAACAGACAGAAACAGTTACAAAGCAGCCAGAGATCACACAGTCAAACAATAGGGAAGTGTCATAGAACGAGGATTCCACAACATGCTCTACTGAGAAGCAGTTTCTGGCCAGACAGAATGGGGTGACTGAAGTTTTCTTTCCCCATCCTGAGATCTGTTTCTTTCTCTGGTGACAGTGGGGGAGCGATCAGGGCAACGTCCCCTCCTCACAGCCTGGGGTGACACTTGGTAATACAGTTTAGATGGACCTGTGAGGATGTGACTCCAGGCCTTGCAGCAATGGCTGCTGCTCTTCAGTCCGGCTGCAGAAGGCGGCTTTGGTTCAGGCCTAGCACAGGCCTTGCAACGTGGCTACGGAAAAGCCCGATGGTTACGGAGAGGAGAGGAGAGGCCTGGGGTGCGATGGAGCAGTGCATGCTGGGAGCGGCACTCCTGGTCCTGGCAGCCCCAGACATCACGGCTGCAGGATGAGGCCATGCTGTGCTCTGGGTGGTGCCTGGCTCCCCATGGTGCCAGCCCTCGCCCTGCCCCTTCATGCTTCACCCCCTCTCCCAGGCTCCTCTCTAGGCCTGCTCTTCACCCCACCTTGGGCTCTGCCCTGGTAGCGTGTGCGGGGGAGGAGCCACCCAGGCGTTCATGGGGGACCCGACTCCCTGGGCTATTTAGCTCCTCACCCTGGAACAGTGGGAGTGGTGGGAGCTCTGCCAGCGTCCTGCAGCCCCTGATAGGCTGCACTTCCTCAGGAGGCTGGGCAGTGGATAAGACAGCCAGTCAGAGGGGATGTCCCCATAAGCTGACCAGCCCTCTCCCTAGGGCGCCAAGTGCAGCTGATCCTCTGCCCTGAGGAAACGCCCTCCCTAGCTCAGGCGCCTTTGCTCTGGGACTCCCCTGCCTCCCAGATGCCTGGCCCTGAGCTCCCCAGGCCATGTTCAATCTGAGGCCCCTGATGGCCCAGCCCTGAGCCCCCAAGGCTGCATTCAGTCTGGGGTCCCCTGCCGCTGTGCCCCTCCTGGTGCCGAGTGCCACATGCTGTGGTCTGGGACTCCCCTCTCTCCCCATTGCCCCAGCTCTGAGCCCTCCGGTCCTCTGCCGCTGTTCCCTCTGGGGGCCCAGCCCTGGGCTTTGGGGCCACGGTCAGCCTGAGGCTCTCCTGTCCCCCGGGCCTGGCACTAACGGCTGCCTGGTCTGATGCAGGTGGAGCGGCTGCTCCGGAATGAATCCCTCCTGGCCCCGGGGCTGGCGCAGTGGGCGGCGCTGCAGCTGCACAATGCCACCCAACACACAAGCAGTTACTTCGGCAGCGACGTGCGGGTGGCATACCAGCTCTGCGCACTCCTCCTGCAGCACGAGAGCCAGCAGCAGGGCTTCGGCCTGGCCGCCACGCAGGACGTCCACTTCACTGAGGTGATGGGCTTTGGGTGGGGTGGCACAGGGCTTTCAGCTGGCATTGTCCTGGCATGGGGCCTTGCTGTGCTCAGAGGATGCCCCCCTGCTGCGGCTGTGCATGTGCAGTAGTGGGAGAGCCGGAGGCTGACCCTGAGCAAAGCAGCTGGCACCGGGACCTAGGAAAAAGATCTGGGTTCTGACCTGGCACTGCCAGGCCTGTGTGGCTGCCCCGTGGGTCGGACCTGGCACTGGCAGGCCTGTGTGGCTGCCCCGTGGGTCGGACCTGGCACTGGCAGGCCTGTGTGGCTGCCCCGTGGGTCGGACCTGGCACTGGCAGGCCTGTGTGGCTGCCCCGTGGGTCGGACCTGGCACTGGCAGGCCTGTGTGGCTGCCCCGTGGGTCGGACCTGGCACTGGCAGGCCTGTGTGGCTGCCCCGTGGGTCGGACCTGGCACTGGCAGGCCTGTGTGGCTGCCCCGTGGGTCGGACCTGGCACTGGCAGGCCTGTGTGGCTGCCCCGTGGGTCGGACCTGGCACTGGCAGGCCTGTGTGGCTGCCCCGTGGGTCGGACCTGGCACTGGCAGGCCTGTGTGGCTGCCCCGTGGGTCGGACCTGGCACTGGCAGGCCTGTGTGGCTGCCCCGTGGGTCGGACCTGGCACTGGCAGGCCTGTGTGGCTGCCCCGTGGGTCGGACCTGGCACTGGCAGGCCTGTGTGGCTGCCCCGTGGGTCGGACCTGGCACTGGCAGGCCTGTGTGGCTGCCCCGTGGGTCGGACCTGGCACTGGCAGGCCTGTGTGGCTGCCCCGTGGGTCGGACCTGGCACTGGCAGGCCTGTGTGGCTGCCCCGTGGGTCGGACCTGGCACTGGCAGGCCTGTGTGGCTGCCCCGTGGGTCGGACCTGGCACTGGCAGGCCTGTGTGGCTGCCCCGTGGGTCGGACCTGGCACTGGCAGGCCTGTGTGGCTGCCCCGTGGGTCGGACCTGGCACTGGCAGGCCTGTGTGGCTGCCCCGTGGGTCGGACCTGGCACTGGCAGGCCTGTGTGGCTGCCCCGTGGGTCGGACCTGGCACTGGCAGGCCTGTGTGGCTGCCCCGTGGGTCGGACCTGGCACTGGCAGGCCTGTGTGGCTGCCCCGTGGGTCGGACCTGGCACTGGCAGGCCTGTGTGGCTGCCCCGTGGGTCGGACCTGGCACTGGCAGGCCTGTGTGGCTGCCCCGTGGGTCGGACCTGGCACTGGCAGGCCTGTGTGGCTGCCCCGTGGGTCGGACCTGGCACTGGCAGGCCTGTGTGGCTGCCCCGTGGGTCGGACCTGGCACTGGCAGGCCTGTGTGGCTGCCCCGTGGGTCGGACCTGGCACTGGCAGGCCTGTGTGGCTGCCCCGTGGGTCGGACCTGGCACTGGCAGGCCTGTGTGGCTGCCCTGGGCGACAGGCAGAGGGTGTCTGGGCAGCTCAGTGATGCCTTACAGGGCACAGACTGAGCATGGCAGGCGGCAGGTGCAGGGGCTGATGGGAAGGACTTAGGAATCAAGTGTTGCTTGGTGCAGCCCGGAGTGGGCAATTCCCTCCCTGGCTGGGGAGAGGCGGGTCCCCCAGGGTCTGGCGGGTCTCTGGGATCTGTTGGGTCCCATGGGTCAGGTGGGACCCCAGACTCGCTGCCCCATGGTGGTAGGCCCCACTGAGATTCAAACCGTCGCCCTGGCTCAGCTCCAGCAAAGTGGGACCCTGACACTCGGTCCCCATGGCAACAAGCCTGCTGCTGTGCCTAGCCAGGCTGTGCTCTGGACCCCCCCCGGGGTGCCTGCCAGCCCGGTAGGGCCCCACGCCGGTGCTCACGGTGCCCCCTTGCAGAACCTGCTGCGGGTGGGCAGTGCCCTGCTGGAGCCCAGCAACAAGCGCCACTGGGAGCTGATCCAGCAGACCGAGGGCGGCACGGCCTGGCTGCTGAAGCGCTACGAGGATTACGCCAGTACCCTGGCCCGGAACCTGCGCCAGACCTACCTGAGCCCCTTCACCATCGTCACGCCCAACATCGGTGAGGAGCAGCACGCGCAGACCTGGGCACCCGCCAGGCTGCCTCTCCCTGCATGGAGCTGCCTGGGTGGGGCTGACAGGGCTCCAGGGAAGCAGGGCTGCCGTGCCGCCGAGCCCAGGGGGCCACAGTGAAACTCAGCACATGCCGAGGGCTGCCCTTGAGTGTGGTTGCATGCACATGCAAATACAGATGCAGATCGCTCCTTTCACCCTGATGGGCGTGAATACAAAGCACTTCCCACAATGCCCTGCGGCTCCCCGCACCCAGGAACGTTCCCTCCGTTCCCGCGAAGCAGGGCTGCCGTGCCGCCGAGCCCAGGGGGCCACAGTGAAACTCAGCACATGCCGAGGGCTGCCCTTGAGTGTGGTTGCATGCACATGCAAATACAGATGCAGATCGCTCCTTTCACCCTGATGGGCGTGAATACAAAGCACTTCCCACAATGCCCTGCGGCTCCCCGCACCCAGGAACGTTCCCTCCGTTCCCGCCAGCCCCTCCGCTTGCGTCTGTCAGTGCCCCCCCGCCTGGGAGAGGCCTCGCCGCTGGGAGCCTGTTCCCAGTGGAGGCCACGTTCAGAGGATCTCAGCCGAGGGCCACGTGCTGAGCTCCACGTCAACCCAAACTGCACCCTGGGCCGCAAACAAACGGGCTGCGGGGCCACACGTGGCCCACGTGTTGCGTAGCCCTGGCCTAGAGGGAACACTGGGAGGGGCCTGGGTGCTGCGGGAGAGGGGTGTGGCCACAGCATGGGGGAGGGGCTTGGGCATCAGAGGGAGGAGCACTCCACTCACACCTGGGCGGGCCTGCACACCGAGTGGGGGAGGTGCACCACACCCACCCCTTGAGGAGGGGCTATTGTAACCGTGGGTGGGCTAGACTTCACTGCCCTTCTCCATCTAAAAAACGCCATTCCCACAGCGGTACTGGAGACCCAGAGTCCAGTCTGTGGGTGGAGTTGGCAGGTGTCCGGCATTGACCCCGACAGGCCGGTATTTTCGCCTCCTGTCCGGTAAAAAATCCAGAGAATATCGGACACCTGAGATGCCCGGTATTCTCGAAGTTCTCCCCGGCCAGGAGGCGAAAATACCGGGCGCCCGGCAACCCTACAAACACTCAGCGCCGGCCTCCCCCC